TATATATGTTTATATATATATATATTATGCATGTGTCTGTATGTGCATTTGTGTATGTATGTATGTATGTATATATATATATGTACATATATCACATATATCTGACGCCAGGACAAACGATCGTCGTTTTGTGCGCCCATCGCTATGCGAACAAAGCGGAGACGTGGAAAATAGTCCTGGAGCCCACGCTGCGTGATGCCGTCTTCCCGAACTCGGCACCTGCACAGATCTGGCCATGCTGGGCTGGGAAGGTCGCTGCAGCACTCGGATGTCTCCCTTTCCGGAGCAGGGATTCTGCAGAAAGTCCCGCCTTCCCAGTGACATTGAGGCACTGACATGGGCAAACATGGTGTGCCATTGTGAGCGACTGGGTCTGGCCACTGTCTTCCGCTCGAGCTCCCAGCCGCATGCTTGGCCCATCACACTGGTGAAAGCAATTCCTGCTTGTCGGAGCTGGTGGATGAAGCCATGCGGCAAGGCCCAGCGCAGGTTGTCAGCACTTTGCGGCAGGACGTCGCCCGCATGAAAGGCTTCTGGGGCAAGGTTGTGATACATGATTTGCAGTCGGTCCGCCAGGTGTTTTCGCCCCGGTGCGGCGTCGACATTTGGCTGCGTGGCAGTTCTGGATAGGACGACCATTGGTCCCGGAGCCGCTTCGCACTTGACGTGGTTTATGATGCAAGAGGATGCTGCCACCACCTATCCGGATGCGGGCTTGACCTTTCTGCGTCGGGTGCCGCTGCTGCTTATGCAAGGGGCCGCGGACCACTCACATCAGCCCAACTTGCTGTCTGTGGCGGTGGCCTTTGCTCACGAGATCGGTGTCTTGGACGCGCCCACACTGCCGGGACCTCAAACGCAGCTGCGTGAACACCATCGCGACCTCAATGCCGCTGATGGGCGACCGTGCGCTTTCATCGAAGATGCCGCTCGTGGGCCATCCCAGGCAGGATCTGCGCAGCAGCTTGCCAGTCGGTATGCGCTGGGCCTGCTTGTGGAAGCACTGCGTTCTGCATCACTCCAGCTTCCCCCGAAGTACTTGCAATCGCACCATTTGATAAGTTGGAGCTCCCATCCTAAATTGTTATCCAGTCGGCTTTGGACGGAACATGGGACATGGCTCATGGGGGTTGTCTTAAATAATTTTTCCGGGGGGGGTCACCCCATGGAATAATTTTCAGAAAATACTTATTCTTTAGCGCCGGTTATCAACAGGGGGTGGAGCGGGGGTCCCGGAATACTGATCAAAAACTGGTCATCTTGCTTTCTGGGCTTGTGGTTCACTTGAGGGGTTCAGGGTTCCCGGATGTGGTTTTTAGGGATTTGGGTTATTCTCTTCCTCGGGCTTTGTGCCACCTCAATACTCGGGGCCAGGGGGCGACAAAATAAAGAGACGCCTGGGGCAACTCGTGCAATTTTGCATAACATGTGATAATGGCTCGCCCACATATGATTTCGGGCAATATCTGAGGTTTCGAGTGGTCCGCATCACCCCAATCAAAGCGATCCCCCTCAATGGCGATGTATATCCCCCTTAATGGAGACGTATAAGTATTTTTGAAAGGGGGTTGTTCCTTTGCTCGTCCGAAATTTCAGACCCTTAAAGGACCAGGTTAGGGTCCGGACCTGGGTTGCCGGAAATTACTCGAACATCCCCCACCTCCCGGAATTATAACGTCTTTTTACCGGGAATAATTATAGTTAATTATTCCAACCTCCCCCCCCCCCTCCCTGAAGACACCCCCCATCATGGCTCTGTGAGGCCGCGGAAGTGATGGTTAACATTACATTCATTAAATCTCAACAACCCACATAGGGTCCAGTCAACTACCCACGTTGGGTTCAGGTGTGAGGTTGCCAATTTTTTTCATGAACTCTGTCAATTCCTTTTATTGGGGAGACTGTGTGCAGGCAGACGTCCGTAGATAGCCAGGACAGGCACGCGAGGAAGTTCAACAGCAGCTGCTTCGATGGCCCTAGACAGAAGCAGCAGCGGATGGGCATGCATGATAGAAACTGCACGGACGTCTCCCGTCATGATGTGCGGTGCCGGAAACTCCCATGGGTCCCATAGCCGTAGCCGACGGTTGAGAAACAAACGATCCTTTCATGATGTTAAAGCCGCAAACATACGGTGCGTTTGGGAGGGGCCGGCTTGTATTTCTTATTCCTCCGGAGAGAGCGAAGATATTTCGATGGAAGCTTATGATAGGGATGGACATTTGAGCTCGTTCTTAGATAAAGCCTGTTTTGAATGAGGAGCAATTTTTTGAGGAGATTTTGGAAGAAGAAGAAGACAACTTGGATCGAACATGTGGCTCTGATGTGTCAAGATGCACAAAAATGTTTGCATTTCAGTATGCAAACATACTGATTCGAGTGCAACGAATCTAGAGTCTTTGCCGTCCAGACCAGAATCTTTGCTGCAAGATTGGGCATATAATATATGTGCATGCATATGTATACCTGCCCAAACATATACGCACACACAATCATACGCATGCGAGCATAAATACGTATGTATGTATGTATGTATGTATGCATGCATGTATGTGTGCTTGTTCGTTTGCTTGTTTGTTTGTTTGTTTGGTTGGTGGGTTGCCTGTTTGTTTGTTTGTTCTTAAGCATATGCCAACACAAACACATACCCATGTCCACAGCCACATGCATGCATGCACGCAAGCCTATGTTAATTCCGACGTAGTCTTCAGACGTCTATATCAGAGCTTAGGTTCGACATGTGGCAGAAGACTCCCCGAAGCGGCCGATGGGATTGGCAGGGTCTGAAGAAGCAGCCTCTTTGTTGCCCTAAGGGTCCAAAAGATCCACGAATTAGGGGTTCCACGATTGGGGGAGAGAAACTGTAAGGGCCGAAGGATTTCAAAAAGGCACAACAGTTAAGGGTTCTGCACCAAGAATTCGGCACCTGGGTTTGGGATAGCAACGTGTTTGAAGGATGTGTGAGTGCTCGATGAAAGGACTTTTCGAGTTGCTGTTTCCGGATTTCGGGTTCAGGGTTTCACAGGTGTCAAGGAGTCGGGGTGTTGAGGGTTCGGGGCAGGAGCTTCAGCAGGCTGGAACGTTAGTGCAAATTTGTGGTCTTTTGCTTTGGATTTCGGTTTCGACTGCAGCCAACTTTTGATGTGGAACTTTGCTTTCAGGGCTTCTGACCCGGCTATCCAGAGAGAGGCATGAGGTTCAGGGCCATTAAGTTTGTGTAGGTTTTCGGAAGTAACGGGTTCGGCATGTATGCAGGCAGTCGGAATCTTCGAAGCCTTCCAGCGCGCATCTAGCATCTAAAACCCCATACCCTAAACCCAAAAAGAAAACCGGGTAACCCCCGGAGAGCTTACCATTTTATCCGACACCTCGTGCTCAGTGATTGCTTTTTGTATAGTGCCACCCGGATCCGACTTGCTGGTTAGGAAGCAAGCAGGCTGTTCGTTATGCGATAATTGAGACTTAGGGTGTCAGCTGGAGGCTTCACAGGGTTTAGGGTTGGTCGGGGGCTTAGGGTTTATAGGGCTTTAGTGACGGCTGTGTGGCAAATTGTGCCGGATTTGAGGCTTCGGGTGGGTGCAGCGATTGCGTTGCCAATGCTCGAAGCCGCAATCCCGGATTCATACACATGCTTAGACCTCCTTGATATGTCAAACGAGATATATTCTCAAGAAGCAGAAGCAGGAGTTATTGCACATTTTGACGGGGTCCTCTTGGACCTTTGACCCTGTAACTCTAACCATTCAATCCCGGCCTTTTTTCCCAACATTGATTCCAAAGCCACTACACCCTAATGGCCCGAACCAGCACATGAAGTAAAGCACTTCGCCTTGCCGACCAGGACTCTTACACCTCTCAACCGTCAAGTTGACAAAGCGTAGAGCCCTTCATAACAAGGATGCAGGGGGCCTACTGTACTACAATTATACAGGGGCTATGCGGGGATTCTATTACACAATTTCTCCGACCCTTGTAGTGAACCGTGCAGCCCAGGATCGCTCAGCATGGTTTGAGGCAGCTTGTTTTGCAAGGGATGAGAAGCTGTCTGAGCCAGAGTCTTGAGTCATATTATATAAAAGAGACGTGCCTTGCTTGAGACCCAACAAAAATCAGAAGAGTAGCCGAGATGCTAAACAGCAAACTGGCTTGCGGCTAGGGTTTGGTTCTTACCACCCGGTCCTCCAAGGCAGTCTGAATATGTCTGAATCGGATAACCCACATATTGTCGAAATCACAACATAGGACAAGCCCAAGAGCAGAATTGAAATTCAATTCGCAGCCAGGAGGCAGAGGCACCAATAGGCATGATAAATACAAATGCTTAGATAACTACCTCAAGGCCCCTAAATTGTTATTATTACCATTATCGTTTGTTTGTCGATGCTGTTGATGCAGACGCACCCTTTTCAGCTGCATCATCTTCGTCACAACCATGTCGACGGTCATTGGATAGCGTATGCGGTTCAAGGTTTCGGGCTTATAGGCTTATAGGGTTTAGGGTCACTTACACACCCCCGCACTCTTGCCTGCACAAAATTGCACACTTTCCACTGAGGTAAAAGGCACCGCTTTCTTGAGCATCGGCGTAAACCCTAACCCTAGAAGGAACTAAACCCTATACCCTGCTAAACATCGCAAGGAACTCACTTCTCGTCGCCCCAATGCCGACTGCCAGCACAGCGCAGATCTTGGGCAACAACGCCTCTGGGAGTTGATTTGTGCTGTGTAGAAATGGCCGCAGCAGTAGCAGTAGGAGCTACCCATAGGCTCCTTAGTAGTTCCATTTTGTGGTTCCTGTGTAGAATCCTACAAGGTAATCCCAAAACGGAGCTACTAAGGAGCCTATGGGTAGTTTGTGGACTGGGATCATGGTCTTCAGGCACTCCGCAAGGTATTGAATATATTTATATATACTGCGACTATCATGATGACTACAGCGATTACTCTTAGTGTTGGTTCGATTAACACTTATCTTGAACTTGTATACTATGTAATCGTTGCATTATTGTTGTGACGCTTGTTACTGGCATGACAGTTTATGATTGGCTTGATGATTATTTTGCTTCTAATCTCTGAGATTCTTGTCGTGGTTGTGATGATGATGATGATGACGAAATATTGTTTAGGGTTCTTGCAATAAGGCTCCTATGGTTCAAGGTCGAATCTGGGTCCAGGCTGCCTTATTTATGCATCCTGCCCATCAAAGATCCCGATGTCTAGTGCCTGTGTTCTGTAGGATGCCCTGTTTGTGGTTTTCTTACATAATGCATTGCAAGTAGGCTTGTTGGGCTACAACAGGTGGGGAACTGGTACGCTTCCTGAGTTGTAATGACAGATCCCATGTGCGCCAATGCAAGTTTTCCAGGGGAGGCACCATTCTATCAACCTCAGCGTCTTGTGGGCATTTTTGTAGCAGAGGAATTGTGCGTTCAACCAGCTCTTTGGTGCCTTGCTGCACTGTCCGACTCCACCAACTTTGTGTATCTCGGACAGTGCAGATCATGCCCACAAGGCTGAGAGCATCACTTGAAACAGGAGATCCCCGTGGCCCAACCCACCCAACCCCCATTCATTCAACCCCAGTCCTACAACATGACATGTCAGGGCGCGCTGCTTTCTCCCCGTTCTAGCACAGAAGCTTCCAAACTTACATCCTCCCACCCGGGCTGAACCCCTCCAACTCTAAGTGCGCAAACCTTCCTCCTAAATGCTACCCATGGGCTCCTTAGTAGTTCCTTTCGGGGATTACCTTATAGGATTCCAAATATGAACCACCAGAAGGAACTACTTAGGAGCCTAGGGGTAAACCCTTTTTTCTGAAGGCCTAGCTGCAAAGCAATAGCTAACATCACCTTGAGCGTCCGTGATCCCAAGGGTTGTTGATAGCCACCTAGCTGCGAGTGTAGCTTGTCAGACAGTGAGCCTAAACCCTGAACCGCCCTAACCCTGAAAACCGTAAGACCTTGGAGGCTCCAACTTGGCAACCCTGGACCCTATAAACCTAGACCCTACCCATAGGCTCCTAAGTAGCCCCTTTTTGTGGTTCATATTTAGAATCCTATAAGGTAAGCCTATGGGTACAACATAAAACAAGAAGAGAAGAGCCGAAGGAGTCGTTTGAGCCGTACACACAGAACCTCTATGTTCGTCGGGTGCTCTCGGGTGAGTTCGTGCAGGTGGCTTCTCCGACTTATTGAAGTCGAAGTGTCCGAAAGGTTTTGGGTTTAGGGTTAGGGTTCACGGATGTAGATGTCGCACTTTTGGTGTAGGCATTTCGGGCTTGGAGTGCAGATGCCGCGCCTGTAGTGTAGGGGTTTTAAGGTTTAGGGTCTAGATATCGTGCTTTCAGTGTGGATGTGCCGGGCTGCGTGAGGCGCTTTGGAGCTAGGAATATTTTTGGTTTAGGGACCTAGGAATATTTTGGGTTTAGTGCTCAGGGATTGCTGATTTCAGGGTAGGGATTTGGCGACTTCAAAGTCGAGGGCTTTGAGATTCGGTGCCTGCGAAGAGAATAGCCGGAACCCGGGGTTAGGGTATGGGGTCAGATTCTCGAGCTTTGACAGGAGGTCCTCGCATGACCTCGCTGTATCCCACCAGAGGGACTGTGAAGCCGAAGCTCCTACCCAGAAACTTCACAGCTTATCCCTTTCCTTCCAACAAGTTGGTTTAGGCTTAGGGTTTAGGGCGTTTAGGGTTTAGGGTTTAGGGTTCGTGGTTAGCACCCTAGGCCCTAAACCTTCGAAAACCGTTCATTTGATTGAGTACAATTTTCGGTTCACGGTGCTGGCAGGTTCCGGGTTTAGGGTGTGTCAGTGTACCACAGCGAGACCGTGTTCTTAATGGGTTTAGGGCTCCCTGTCCGGGGTGATCGGTCAGGATTTGCGACCCTTAAAGGGACCCTTAGGGTTATATAGGGGCTTTATGTTACTATATAAGGGTTATATAGGGTACTAGGATTAGGGGTCCCTTCTAGGGGTCCCTCCTATTGCCCCTTAAGTATTGGTGCCTATGGGCCATGCTCAAGGCTCCAGTGGTTAGAAGTCGGATAGGTAAAGAAGCCGCCCATCACAGCAACCACACAGAACGCCAAGGAAGACCAACCATACATACACGCGCGCACACACACACATATATATATATACACACACATGCGTGCACACACAAACCAACAAACAAACAGACACACACACACACACTACACCCACAGAGAGAGAGAGAGAGAAACACCCGCAGACACACACACACACACAAGCACCCCAGACACACAGTTTGGTATTTCTGTAAGCCTGAACCCCAAGCCCTTCAAATTTCTAAGCTAGCAGCAGGTGAATCGGCACCTCCTCCGTGACCTCATCGCCCGGGATTTGTGGACCGAGGCAGGTGCAAGAGGTCGATAGTTGAGGTTTGCAGCTGGGTCTCAAACCCGAAATCCTAAACTCTAAGCAGCACGTATTTGTGAATCCAATACGGCTCTTCTTTGGTACTTTGTGTGCTTCAGTATATTACATGCTGAGGAACTATACGCGTGGAAGTCTTCAGCTGCTTCTAGAAGCCTAAATAATTACCTTATGGGTGGGCGTAGTCTAAGATAACCCAAGATCCTATTCGATTTATTAAGGCCTACATTAAGAGTGGTCACTCCAGGCTAACGGTCTTTCAGACCAACATGAAATTTGAATCGGGGACCATTTGCAGTGCTGGGAGCGGCACAGCTCCCATTCGTGAATTTCAGAGCCTTCAGGTATCCTTATCACGATGCGTAGCTAGTAGGACCATAGAGTAAGGGTGTAAGGACCCCGAAAGGGGGAACCCCTGATTCGTAGAATATGGGCTTGCTCAGACGTTATCTGCATCTTTTCCGCAGGGAGCATTGCTACTCACTTCATGGAAAGCCTCAGCTGATGCCCTCCCTAGGACGTGCGACTGAAGCTCATTGCTCACAATGGGAGCGTCCAGGCTATGGACTTGCCAGAGGACCGTGCTGTTCTTCGCTTTTGGTCCTGAGTCCCATGAGGGAACTGACTCAACTCATGACTTCAAGCCCTGACAGCAGCTCAGGTATTAGGGTTCAAGGGCTTGGTAGGGAAATTTTAAGTTTTCTTTGCTTTGTCATTTTGGTTCACATTTTACATTTCTATTTTATGCCTACTTAAACTCAATAAGGAAAAGTGTAGACTTTAATACTATCCCAACCATGAACTAGTTTTAGAGTACGGTGTCAGTGTCCGTCTTCACAGCAACTACTGTCGCTTTGAGCGACCGCTCTTCGTGTTAGTTCGTCGTAAGAAGGCATTGACGCTAATCCCTAAACTTCCATCTCTACGCACCTGACATTTAAGTTGGCAAGACCTCTACCCAGAGGCTCCTAAGTAGTTCCTTTTTGTGGTTCATATTTAGAATCCTATAAGGTAATCCCAAAAAGGAACTACTAAGGAGCCTATGGGTATACACGCTTTACCAATTATTGCAAGGATATCAAGGATCTCTACAAGACCGTCTGGGAGATCCGGCAGCGTGCATCTTGCACCGTATGGAGGGGGGTCAGGAGTTTTGGTTTAGGGCCCCGACTTTGAGCAAACACGTACCAAAACCGCAGAACCCTGAAACCTGAAACCCAGACCCTGAAGCCGACACCCAAGACACTATTCCAATGAGTCATGCTTCTGTTTTAACTCCTAAACCCTGAACCCTAAACCCCTAAACCCTTAAACCCTAAACCCCTAAACCCCCAAACCCCTTAGCCACTAAAATCCCTAAACCCTAAACCCTATATTCCTTCCCAACCAAGCCTGAAAACCCAGACCCGAGGCTGTCCTGGACATGGCGGCTGACCGCGGGGCTTACATCGATCAGTCACAATCCTTGCTGCTTGTCCGGACTCGTTTGGTGTTTTTTTAGGGGTTATAAGGTTTTTGTTGGTATGGGCTTACAGTTTAGGCTTTAATTGCTTTGAGTACGGGTTGAGGGTTTGAAGGTTTAGGGTTTGGGGGGGGTTGACTGTTTTTTGATATGCGCTTAGGGTTTAGCGTTTTAGGGTTAAGCTCTACGCTTTGAGTACGGGTCTGGGAGAGCAAGACAAGCAGCGCTTGAAAGAGCGACCGGCGACCGACTTTCTGAAACCGCCCGCCCTGCGTGGCAACAGCTTGTGACTGTGTCTATGCTGTAACATAGGGCCTACATATACTATACTATTCTTGTGAGGTTCCTTACTACGTTTATAGAATAATATACCCCAAAGCCCTTGTTTACTTATTAAGGCCCCTATATTTGGCTTTGTGTGGGTTGGTCTTGAATTCCGTCACAGCTTCAAGGGAACCCATCATGCCAGCGCGGACAACAGGTGGTGGTCGAGTTTTGCATAAAAGCAACAAGACCGCGAGTATAATCTATTGCGAACGAACACAGCCGTTCGGGCTTGGCCTAAGGAACATCCATATGGTGGACGTCACAACTGCCAAGCTCTCGTCGATGCACTTCCACGGATGGAGACTCGGCGAAAGAAGACTGCAGTCAAAGTTCCGATACCCTTTACTATCCCTTTACTGGACCCTATGATACCCTAAACTAAACCCTAAACCCTAAATGACGCCCAAGAACTCTGCTTGTGCGGGATTTTGGGTTGAAGGACCTTCAACCCGAAACCCCATCATCGACGCAGCAACTCTCATGGTAACCCTAGGAACCCCTTTGCAGCAGCCCTGGGTAACCGATTGGGATTTCGGCAATCCTCCCATGCCTCCAACCTGAACCAATCCCGGTTTTGGGGTTTAGGTGCCAGCCCTGCGCAAGCTTATGGCCCGCTTGAAATCTTACACCCTGCCTGAGCACGAACAAATCCTGAACGTCTTTGTGGCTCCGTATGGTGCTTTGGGCTAGAGGTTCAACACTCCCTGCACCTGCAAACCCTAAGCCCTAAGCTTAAGACCCTAAACTCTAAACCTCAAAGCTCATGCTAAACCCCGCAACCTGAAGCCTAAACCAAGAGAACTAAAGCAAACCATGCGAGAAGCTCTATTACTAAACCCTAACCCCTACACCCCAAACGGCCCCCAAATCCGAAACCCTAAAGCCCTAAGCCCTAAACCCGAAACCCCTAAACCCCAAACGGCCCCCAAATCCGAAACCCTAAACCCGTATAGCCCTAAACTCGAAACCCCTAAACCCCAAACGGCCCTAAATCCGAAACCCTAAACCCTAAACCAAACCCTGCTGGCAGGAACCTGGGCTTGAAGACCGGTCTCTACTACTTGAGGCGATCTTTAGCGTGTAGGGTTTAGGGTTTAGGGTTCAGGGTTTAGGGTGTAGGGTTTAGGGTTTAGGGTTTATCAGGTTTAGGTTTTAGGGTGTAGGGTTTTGGGTTCAGAATTTAGTTTTTAAGTAGGGTTCAGGGTTCGGACTTCAGTTGGTTCAGACTTCAGTTGTTCAGTAGGGTTAAGGGTTTAGCAATCACCGCTTCGGAGCAAGCGTTGAAGGGTTCTATAGGCTTGTACAGGGTTCGGGTTTAGGGCTTGAGGTCTTTTCGTACATGTTGTGTTTTGGGTGTTTTTTCGGGGATGTCGCCTGACGCAGCATCGCGGGCTGCTGCCGGAAAACACCTGACTTGGTGTTCCCAAAAACTGTTTCGCGAGCCGGAGCCCTAAAACCCTAAACCCTAAAGGCCCTGAGTCCCTCAAACAAGGGGGTCAAGAATTTCGGAATCCTCATAAAGATGACACATACCCATAGGTTCCTTAGTAGTTCCTTTTTGGCATTACCTTATAGGATTCTAAATATGAACCACAAAAAGGGACTACTTAGGAGCCTTTGGGTAGTATGACCCTGACTATGCGAAGCCCTCAGGCCCCATAGCCAGTTCCCCCCACTTCCTACGGCCGTGAGCCAGCCCGTAACCTTCCTCTGCCACTCAGGGGCTTGCAAAGTTAGGGTTTAGGGGTTTAGGGTTATAGGGGTTAGCGGTTAGGATGTAGGGGTTCAGGGTATGGAGGATGGTTTTGCTAATGGCCTCACTTTGAGGAATTATCTGGTATTGCTTGCTAGCAACTAAGACAGGGCGACCAAAAAATGTCACCAACTCCAGCTATGAACCCTAAACCCTGGCAAACCCTAAGCCCAATGCTTGGCTGGGACGAAAGCCGTGAACCCTGAAGCCTTGGCTTAGGCCCCGGCACTTAAGCCGTAGATCCAAACGTGACCAGGACGAAAGCCGCTGCAGACGCAATCAAGTTTACCGTGGATGTTGAAACGCTGTATCTTGCCTGCAGGTTAGTCGGTTGTAGGCTTAACCCCGTGCTTGACCCACATGTTTGAAGCGTAGACGTAGAATAGTGTTCTGTTCCTTTCGTCGAATACACTATGTCAAAAGCCTGTCTATGCTGGGACCCCCCCTCTCCACTCTAGTCTAACGGCTTGGCTTCTACATTGGTCGTGGGATGGTTCCTGTGGTCTCGGGTCCATGGGCGCTGGGGGGGGGGGGTTCGATGGTTCTCTCTTGGGCTTTAGGTTACGAGGCTTTAGGGTTCAGGGTTAACCTTTTGGGGAATATTCGAAGCCAAGGCACCTCTCACAGCCGAGGGTGACTTGTAGCAGGCCTGCAGGAAGACAGAAAGAAAGCCTTTCGGGCAGGAACCCTCACAAAAAGAGGCAGGAAAGTGAGACTTAACTTGTTCCACCATGACGCTGAGAGTGTTGCGCTGGGGTCTGGGGACTGCCAAGACATGCACCACTCCACGACCAATGAATACCCACAACTAACCCGAAACGTTAGAACCATCGAAACCCGTCTCCTTTATCGCCAAATGAAAGCCCTAAACCCTAAACCCTAAAACCCTAAACCGTGCGGAGTGAAGAAGGGGAGTAAGCCTGCAAGAAAGAAGGTTCAAACCGCCCACCACGAACGGTGAGCCCCAAGCCATCCTATACTCAAAACTCTATAAGCCTTAAGCCCAAGGCCTTAAGCCATCCTAAGCCCTACAGCCCTGAAAACCTAAAGCCCCAAACCCTAAACCCTAAGCCCAAAACCCTAATTAAACCCGAAACCCTAAACCTTACGCCTTGAACTCTAAACCTTGCACCTAAAGTAGAAGCCGAAATAATTACGCAACACTGCTGCTAGGGTTGCTGATTAGAAAAATACTATACAGGAACCCAAAACGCTATTCTAATGTACCCTAAACCCTAAACCGTGGCCTTTTTCCCTTTGGGCTCCCAGCAGAACCTGACTCCAAGGAAGCAGCGCTCAAGCTCCGACTCTGAAGGCATTTGGGGAGTTTTGGGTTCGGGGGTTTAAGGTTTCCTAGGTGGTATTTAGGGTTTAGGGTTCAGGGGCTGAAACCTGCTTGTGGTGATAGTTGGCTAAGGCATTCAGGGCTCCTTCTGCAGAAGAGGCTCAGAAAGCTTGTTTCGTCTGGCATAACACCCAGTATAGCTGCCAAACAACTTTCATGTATGGCCCTAAACTCTAAATCCTAAACCCTAAACCCTACAACATACAAGACCCAGAATCCAGAAATAAATGTTCGTCCACAGGAACGAAGGTGCAGAAGACGGCCATCGAGCAGCTGAAAGCCGAGGGTCCAAAGTATCAATGCGAAAACTGCAGTGCTTGAGCCGAAAAAAAACGCTTGGAGAGAAATTCGATGGGGACTTTCAGCGCCCTCTGCAAGTCGCAGATGGTCAATTCATGGCCCTCTTCCCCACAAGATGATTAGAACTACATGCTTAAGCTGACAACTCTGCATACACGGTACCTTCAGAGTATGAGCAGGACAGGCTTCAGCTCGCCCCGTGTCTGGGGGGAAGTGGGGCCGCCTGCGCTGACAGGGGTAGAGACAGGCTCCTTAGTAGTTCCTTTTGGGGATTACCTTATAGGATTCTAAATATATACCACAAAGAGGAACTACTTAGGAGCCTATGGGTAGAGATGGATGGCTGCGATGTCTATCAACTTCGCAGCTGGCCAGGATGACCATGAAAGCTTCTAGAATCTTCTAGACAAACAGCTGCCGAGACGAAAACTCCGAGGAATCGCGGTAAGATGTAGACGAGTCTACAAAGTGTCTGCTGCATGATGCATGAGGATAATCTACAGAGCGCGAGATTGCAATGCAAATGTCTGGTTCAAACTCCATTCAAGCATGGGCTTTAGGTGCGACTGTTCCGGTTTCAGTAGATCAACCCTGAACCCAGCACTTTTATGGTCGGTTCTGGCATGGGGCCGCAGAAACACAAGTGGGCCGTGCTATCACTGTCCTGCCTTGTGCTCCTTGCTTGGGGAAGTCCTTGGGCACCCCGGCCCCGAACCCTACCATTACCAAGATTCGAAAAGTAGCAATAACAGATTAACAACAGTATCATGCATGACAACAGACGTCATGAAGTACTGCCAGCGCTGCAGGCTTTAGCACATCACGTGTGAACAGATTTTGCCATACTCGCAAACTTAGCGCTCGTGACTGGCAATGGTGCGAGCACATACTGTCTCGAAGGGTCGCGAGCACCGACAGCAATGAGGGGTCGAGAACAGGTATTGTCCAGGGAAACGACGTATTCTGAATGTTGTTAAAGATATCAACGAAGCTTGCCCCTAAAATCCACAGCAGATCGCAGATGTCAAAGGCCCAAGGGTTTGGAGGTCGGGGACACCAAGGCGATGCCTTTGGCACACTAGCAGAGAGACATCGTGGAAGGACAAAAAGCCGGCTTCTGCAGCTTGGAACCCCAAACTCGTAGACCAACGTTCACTTCTCATCCTTTCGTGCGGCAGCTCTACCCATAGGACCCTAATTCCTTTTTGGGGATTACCTTATAGGATTATAAATATAAACCATAAAAAGGAACTACTCAGGGGCCTATGGGTAAACCCTAAACCCCGGATGTTCGGAAGACGTCGGAGTGTGTCCGACTTCAGGATGACGGATTGAAGTGGACGCCTGAAGCTCCCCAGCTTTTCAGGGTGGAGGTCGACGTGGTGGTTTGTTGGGGTTTATCTAGTCATACTCCAGCCCTTCTACAGGGCACCTGCACTGTTATGTAACTACAGAAGTAGGTATGAGTATCCGGAAAAAAAAGGTAGGGTATGACCCTGCAGGCAGGGTGTTGAGTTGAGTGGGTCATCGGAGCAAACTCTTCAGCCAGCAGACCTACCGTAGCACGCAGTCCTCAAAATTCTGCATTCCGCACCTCTGAGTGCTACATCTATTTAGTTCCCCGATACCCAACCTTTAAACTTTTTGGGTTCGTATACTATAGTAGCAGTCTGAAAAATTTAACCTTTCATTTCCCTGGCTTATTGGGGAAGTAAATCCATGAAGCCCAAAGCTTAGCCTTGCTGCCACCACCAAAAGGCTTAGCTTGCAGAGCAAAGCCCTCAACCCCACCATGCACCGACGTACAACGCCACTGTACAGCAAGCCCTTATAGTTGTCTAAGGAGTATTCGTTTTCTACTAGCCAGTTTTATCCCAACTCAACCTGAATTTTGCTGTATATATATATACACGTGTATATATATATATGTGTGTGTACGTATGTATGTATGTATGTATGTATGTATGTACATATGTATGTATGCATGAACGGATGCATGTCTAGAGGATGCATGTCTGAAGTATGGCTAAGCCCTGACGAAATGCTAAGCCCTCAACGGCCCCAAACCCTAGTGTGGTTCGGTCGTGTTTGAGGTGGAGGCTTGGTCGTCTACGACCTGCGCTTCCTTCGACCCTGGAAGCATTGGAAGGCTCGGCCGCATTGGCGATGATGAGCGTCCGAACTACTTAATATAGACGCTCCGCCAGTCAGTAAAGCTATTCCTTAGGGGTTCCTTACTGTAAGTTTGGTACATCAACCCCAAACTCTGTTCTACTTCTTGAGGCCCCCATAGTTAGCAATATCGCTGTATACAATCCGTAATACACAAAAACTGCAATGTACCCAAAGCCTTATTCTAGTTTTCAAGGCCGCTACATTAGAGATCTGGGTCGAGAGGGGCATGGGTTATGAGCCTCGGCCATCACAACTGTTAAGACTTATGGTCTCGGGTTTCCGGTTCTATGACCTTGAGGTTCGGAGTTGTGGATCTTGGGGCACGCGGTGTTAAGTCTTACAGGGTGTTGTTTAGATATTTCAGGTATAGTAGTTGTCTAGAAGTCATGTTCAGGTCTGAAGGGCTTGTTTCAGAGTGTCTGACACTTGTAGTATGATCAGCACCCTAAACCTTTAGCCATAAATCGTTGTTCAGCCACTGTATCCGTGTTGCTGTATTACCCTAAACCCTAAACCCTACACCCTAAACCTTAAACCCTATAAACCCTAAACCCTAAACCACGTTGTTGGCCTCGTGGCTGCGTGCCTCGAGCCTCGTTCCCTGCAAGCCTCACCTCCTGTAGCTTTCTAGTCCTTAACCCTCCTAAGTCATACCTGGACCCCGAAAGTATGTAGAATAACAGCCTTTTATAGGTTTTGGGCCATTGTTTTGCCTACTTTTGGGGGTTTAGGTAGGGACCTTTAGGGGGGTATGGGGGAGGGGGCTAGGGAACATACTTCCTTTCATGGGCCTGATCAGGTCCTTGTGACGGGTATTAAGGCTCCCTCCCCCCCCCCCCTTCCGCCTAAGGGTCCTTATGACCGTGAAGCCTCACTGCACTCCAGACCCTGAACTGCTGAATCCCTAAACTCTGCTAGTATACGGTAGTGAGGATTCTTAAACGGATCAGGGTGAGAATGGCTCGACAATCGTCGATTTCTGCTGAGCTTCGAAGCACAACTCGACACTTCTCTCTGTACTTGGCTGTTCAACTTTCCATGCGTAGTCTTGATATAGCTGTTAGTTTCCCTCATTGATGAATATGGAACCTAGAGCTAAACATAATTTGGGGGCTTCGAAATCGACATCTACTCAAGCTTCAAGCTTCCTTGGCATTTTTCATGCCTCGTCGCAGCCTCGACACGCACGCACCCTATCTTCCAAAATCTGGAACCCCCCCTATCTTGGGGCAAGCCGTAAATATACCCTATGTCCTACATCTGGTTGAGAGTGTGAAGGTGCCGTCGAAAAGGTTTCTCCGATCGCCACACTTCCGGGCGTGGAGTTGCCCCTCACCTCGGTGGGTCTACATGATTAGTACGGAATGGCACCCGTTTCCTAGTCATTAAACCCTAAGACGTACCTCAACCTACCAAAACCTACTTTTCTCTAGGGTCCCTGAAAATTCGACATTAGGGTATAACCAAAAAAGTCGGTTTTGGTATAAGGTAAACAGTGAGCCCGGCATATTAAGATGCAACCCCTAAACCCCTAAACCCTAAACCCCTAAACCCCGTGATCTGAAGGTGTCCACAAGAGCTGGGATTCTCTCCATGAGGCTGCCGCTGCACGCGGTTTGTGATTCTACTTTAGGGCCCTTGGGGTTGAGGGTTTATAGGGCTTAGGGCTTATAGGGTTTAGGGGTTTAGGGATAGGGTTTAGGGGTTTATTTAGGGTTTAGGGGTTTAGGGGTTTGGGGTTTGGGGTTGAGGGTTTGGGGGTTATTTAGGGCTTAGGGTTTAGGGCTTTATCGTTTCTACAGGGCCTTGAGGTTCAGGACCACTTTAGGGCCATTGGGTTCATGAAAGTATGTGGGGCTTGGGGTTCAGGCTTTCGGGTTTTTTTTGTCGGACGTAAGCTTAAGCCCTATAACCCTAAGCAATGAAACTCTAACCCGCAAGCCCCAGGCCCTACCCATAGGCTCCTAAGTTCCTTTTTGGGATTACCCGATAGGAGTCTAAATATGAACCACAAGAAGGAACTACTTAGGAGCCTATATGGGTAAGCCCTAAACCCCTGGAGAGTCTTCCTGCAACCATATTATGGGTAGCTCTCTTAATTTGGGATCCCTTTTTGGGCCTTTTTTGGAACAAGGGTGCCGTAGCTATTCTGTGGCCCTAGAAATATAAACTATAACCCCTAAACCACTAACCCTAAACCCTAAAACATTTCCAGGATCCGCTACTTCCGGTTTTTTCGGCATCGGCGCCAGACCAGGACTCTCGAACTTGCTGTCTTCGGTCACGATAGGAAACTTTTGCCAGTCGGTGGATGCTCTCTGGGCTTCAAAAGCCGCTGACATACGGTTTAGGGTTTATTAGTTTCTAGGACAGTGAAGCCCATAGGACCTTTGACGTTGGAATCGAAAGGATCTGACGAACTGTCCCCAAACCCGAGACCCTAACAGGACTTTGCCCCCGGCACTGCTTCGCCTGGTGAGCCGCGGCGCTTCTTCTTCGATGCCATCCCGGCACCTCAGCAGAGCATTGCAGATCACGGTGTGGGTAATCGCGGGATCGGTTCAGGGGTTCAGGGTTTAGGGTTCATAAGCACCTGAAGCTCGTAGCTCTTTCGGTTTGTCTCCGCGTTAGCTGCCTTCTTTGTCTCACACAGTCATGCATCATATTATTGTACGCGAGGGTAGATGCAAGCCAATGTAGAAACCTACATGCGATCTCTCGTTGCCTCTCGGTGTGTCTGCTCTTTACTCATAAATAATACTGTAGTTGCATCTACATGCATACATCCATCCTCGACTGCATGCGCACGTGCCATCATACATACGCTTGCATGTCTCCGTGTGGCTGCCCGAGTTTGATTAAAGCTGTTTGTGCCGGGACTTCCTGTGAGGGTATAACATATCTCGAAAGCTCACCTAAGCCCTAAACCCCGAAACACCCTGAACCCGAGACCTTAAAAAAACGGTTCAGGAGTTTCCCACGACCGTGGCCTACAGAAAGAAGTACACGCTCTCCGTCTACTTCCTTTCGCAGGAGCAACGCCACAAGCCAAATGCATTGCTTCAGGTACCGTAAACCCCAAACTCAAAACCCTAAACCCTAAACCCCTAAACCCCTAAAACTCCAAACCCTAAAGGTCCTATATCCTAAACCAAAGTAGTGGAATTCTCTCCGGTCCAAGACTCTAAATCCTTCACCTCGGAAGGGAAAGTTGCAGCGAGTAATTACGAATCGCAGTCCCTCACAGTCCCTGTATCGTCAAAGAGAAAAGCCGAAGATGCACCCGCAAACCCTGCCATAACGATTAAGGCCCCTATCTTGCCTGCTTGTATCGTTAGCTGAGCATGGTGAGTCTTGATCCTGCAGTCCATCTAGAACTCCATCGTTGGTGGTAGCAGGGGGAGTGTCCAACCCTGAAACCTAAACCAAAAAGTCCTAAACCTTAAACTCCTAAACCCAAGGTCCCTCAGCCCTAAGCCCAATCTTGGCCCATGATTTTCCAGAATCGACTCAACTCCCCCCCCCCCTCACCCCCGCCGCCTCGTTGCTGCTGACTCTGCTCCGTAGACTCCTGCTCTGGGCGCTCACCGGGTTTGAAGTCGGGTTTGAAGTAGGACGATTTAGGGTTTAGGGTTTGTAAAGGGTTTAGGGCTCAGGGTTTAGGATTTAGGGTTTAGGGTTCAGGGTTTAGGGTTCAGGGTGTAGTGGGGTACTAGGGTTTGAAGTCGGTTTGGGGTGTAGGAGGGTTTAGGGTTTAGGTTTCAGGGTTTAGGGTTCAGGGTGTAGTGGGGTACTAGGGTTTGAAGTCGGTGTGTAGGGTTGTGGGTTCGAGGGCTCTTGGTGTCTGACCTGGGTTTAGGGCTTGGGGTTTAGGGTTGAGGGTCCTCTTCATGCATATTGGAGCAATACCGTAAACCCCAAACCCTGAGCCGCACCATATCTGCCCAGAGAGTCCTAGGTACTGTTATGGGAGATACTTTCCCAAATCATAAGAACGATTCAGATTCCTTATTTGGGTAGTTTTCAAACTTGGGGTCCCTTTTGAGGTCCTTTTTATAAGGGTGCCGTACTATATTGGGGATCTCAGAAGGGACCCTAATTTACAGAACTACCCATATAGAAACCCTAAACCCTAAACCCTAAACCCCAAACCCCAAACCCCAAACCCCAAACCCTAAACCCAAACCCTAAACCGTAAACCCTCAACCCCAAACCCTAAACCCTGCACTCTTCTATAGAGGCATAGATCCTTGCTTCGTGACCTCGGGATTCCCGCACTTAAGGTGACAGAACCCAAAGCTAGCCTGGAGCCTTCAATCGCCAAGTAGGGTTTGGGAGTTTTGGGTTTAGGGTTTCAAAGTTTGAGATTTATAGGGTTTTAGGGTATAGGGTTTATAGGGGGTTTAGGGTTTAGGGGGGGGTTCAGGGGCTAAGGGGTTTAGGGGCTTAGCCCAGTGCTGAGAAGGACAGCTACTGCGCGGGGCCCAACGGCACGCAACTCTTTGCAGAGCAGCCCGGCAGGCAGAGGGGCTCATTGAGCCTACAAAATTGAGGGCAGAGAGTGTTGGGGCTAGCCGTAATTGGCAGTTTTCTAGACTATCATAGCACAGTCTTCACTATACTATAGCATAGTGTCGTTTAATATAATGTGGTATAGCATAGTGGGGAACAAAGGCATCCTCTTTCTGGCACACGAAACGTTCGAAGGCTTGGGACAAAGGCCCCAGTTGGAGTCGGCACGCACGAGCAGATGTGCTTCGGATTCAGGTTTACTGGGTCCTCATTGGATACAATTTTAGATTTTTGTTATAAAAAATATCAACAAGGATTAAACATGATCATTTTTAATATGGCCCCAACAGGGAACCAGTTTAGGATTGTAGGGTTCAGAGTTTTAGAGCTTAGGGGCTAGCTTATCAGGGGCTCCAGTAACCGAACAGGCACTCCTTTGATATAGGGGCCTCAATAATGCGAGAAGGGTTTGGGGGCATGCTGCGCCATGATCATAATAAGGAGCCCTGATGAAAGAACCCGTTTCTAATTCTGTTGTGCCTAAAGTAGGCTCCTATATGACAATTACCTTCTTTAGGATGCTGAATATTACTGCTGGTATTATCCTCATCAGCTACCAGAGTCTTGGAAGTTTTAGTTCTCTCCCAAGAGCTTGAAGCTTACCTCAACTTGAGGGCTTGGGGTTTAGAGTAGGGGGTCAGGGTGTGGGAGAGGATTTAGCGTGAGGGGTTCAGGGTATTTCGGGGACTCTAAGAGAGGGACAGCTTCCTCCCCAAAGTGTCCAAAGTACCTATTTAGTAGAATGAAGGGTTTCTGTATTTGGAATCCTTGTTATGATTTGGGAAAGTATCCCCCATAGCAGTACCTAGGACCCTTTGGGAACATGTAAGGTCAGTCAAGGAAGACATGCTCGCTCAGCACGTCTACATCGAGGACGGGACCCATGAGACCCGGGAGGCTGCGTTCAAGCACTACCACTTCACCATGCTCTGCGACTTGTCTTCGCGGAGTCTGGTTTGGGTGTAGGGTTTAGGGTTTTTGAAGGGTTTGGGGCTCTGCAGGCTTATGATGCCCCCGGTTGCCCTAATCCTTGAACCCGAAACCCTTTTCTTTGCTGCTGGCTACTGTGGAAGAGGTGGAGATTTCTCCGAGCACCCCTTCCCGCCACTGGCCCTGATCTACTCACTGGCATATGTGGCTCATGTGCCTTGGCAGTGCACCTTCTAAGGGCTTTGGGTTTAGGCGTTTCGGGTCTAGGGCCACCCAGAGATCCCAACACGCTTTAATTAAGGAATATATACCTTAAATTGTAGGGACCTTAGTATTATGATGTAAGGTATATTCCTTGGCTAGGGGGTTACTGGGGTCTCTGGGCACTTTGGGGCTTGATGAGTTTAGGCTTGAGGGTTGCGAGCTCCGATCGAGGTTCCACCGGGGTTTCTGTATGCATGGAAGTCGCTCAGTGCTCTCTGTCTTCCTCAGCTAGGATTTCTCAATGTCTGCATATTCCCAAAGGGTCCTAGGAAATGTTATGGGGGATACTTTCCCAAATCATCATAAGGACTCCTGATATGGAAACCTTACATCCTATGCAGGTAGTTTGGACCCTTTAGGATTGTAATCTGAGAGTACTGCCCAACTCGGATCCTTGCAATTGAAACAGAACGAGCTCCAAACCCATGTGACACGGAAGCACATGCCAATCTCGAAAAAGCGGAAAGGCCCTCAACCCCAAACCCTGCACCTTAAATGCCTTAAATGCTACAACCCTAAACTTTAAACTGCCATGCCCTAAACCCCAAACACTCCAAAACCAAAATGTCTGCAGCAAGCAGCCCTTCCCTGTGGTCTCCTTGGCACGACAAGCTGAGGCCATGGTTCCTGAGCACATCCATTGGAAAGCCAGCCGAATGAGCCTTGCCTGCATCCGGACACCATGGTGGTAGGGTTTAGGGTTCCCTAAACCCTAAACCCTCAGATTCCTCAAGTACAGGTCTCTTAGGGTTTAGGGCAGTTTCGAGTTTAGGGTGTTTGGGTGTTGGGTTTTCGGTTGGGGCCAGAAAATGTACAGCTTCAGGCAGCCATCTCGAGTCAACTTGTTCTTGTGAAACGACCTGCTCCCCGGAACCCCCTAAACCCTAAGCCTTAACCCCCTAAACCCTAAGTTGAGGTTTTTTTATCTGCCGGATGCTACCCCGTAAACCCTAAGCTGAGGTTTTTTCATCTGCCGGATGCTGCTCAGGGCGTCCGGTCCACCAGAGTTCTGGGGCTGGAGGCCGCACAATTCTTGTTGGGATCATGCCTGTGGGTGGTAGGGTCCGTGGAGGTACCCATAGGCTCCTTAGTAGTTGCTTCTTGGGATTACCTTTTAGGATCCTAAATAAGGACCACAAAAAAGGAACTACTTGGGAGCCTAGGCCTATGGGTAGTTGCAGCAGAAGCAGCAGCAGCAGCAATGACAGCGACGACTGAGAGATGGCAAAACCAGCTGAAGAAGAGCATGATGATGGTGCTGATGATGTGGTGCTGATGATGAGGACGACGATGAGCAGTCTGAGGAAGGAGAAGATGATGAAGACAATGGTGACTCTGACTCAACATGAGAAGATCTAGTGCGCGGGGACGCTGCTGCTTTTACTGTTAGCCATCTTGGTAGTGGTCGTCATGGTTCTGAAGTCTGTTCGTGGCATGGCGAACTCGTCTTTTTAACGGTGAGCACGATATCAAGTGACAGCCGCGCTTTCTAGCTGGTTGTGGATGTAATGGCACCGCTGTTTACATCATCATGCTGGAGACAAGCCACCTAGACCCTCCATCTACCCAAAATTAGACCCTAAATACCCTTAATTTGGGACCATATACCCCTATTTGGGGGTACTTGGCAATAGTCACTCTGCTTGCAGGGGGGCCTCTCAGCTGCAGTGTCTGGCAGCGTTCAGACAGAAAAAAACCCTTGACCTGTTGGACAGGCCTACTTGGAGAATCTCATGGTGGCCAAATCCAAGGATTCAAGTCCAGCGGCAAACATCTCCACGACCTGGTAACTGTCTATGCAAGATGTCCTCGTCGCCAGTGCAGCGGTCCAGCGTCCGATTCGAAGCAGTCCTTGCAGGAGAAAATCATGGAGTTCAAGGAGACTTTCACACTTCTAATGCAGGCCAGGTTTTTGAAAGTTCTCTTTTATAAAACGACTTGTCTCGACCGGATCCAGGGCAGCTGTCCCGCATGAGCATGGTCATGTCTGAGCAACAGGTCTTGTTTCGCTATCGATACGCTGAGCCAGTGCCGCGCCGCGCAGAGGCTGGGACAAGGGGCTTGACCCTGCAGGAGCTTGCTCACGCGAAGCTAGATTTCGGTGTATCAGCAAGATCAGAAAGAAAATAGACTTTGACGGTTCAGCGAGTCATTGGATCACAGCCCTCGTCCATAGACACCGTGGCGACATGAGTGCCGAAGTGGTGTCGCAGTAGTAGGCGTCGCCGTAGTGGCAGTAGTCGCAGCAGTAGTAGTAACATTGAGAATAACTATTGCCAATACACATGTTCACCAGAGATGTCGTTCTGGACAATGTAAACATCCGATGATAGCAAGATCCTGATCAGAGCTGCGAGTATTTGCGTGTGGAGCACCGCCGTAACTCGACAAATTATGCCTAGAGTTCCCCCTTAGCAGACCCCATGTCTGGACCTGCCACGACACGCCCGGATGCCTCGTGCGGAATTTCCCCCATGCTTGCCACATTTCAGGACGCGGCACTCACGAATGCTTGAAGCCGCGCAGCGATTTCGCTCCAAACGAGAACCCTTATGGTGTTGCTGCTGCTGCTGCTCCTGCTGCTGCTGCTGCTGCTGCGACGACGACGACAACGACGACTACTGCTGCTGGTCGACTTCTGCTAGCAACAAATAGTCACTAAACAGTCGCATCTGCAACTGACAGCAACCATGCTAATCATGCCAGCATCACCATCACCATCATCATCATCAGCAGTAGCAGCACCACCACCATCATCACAGTCCCCATGCCCATCCCCATTCCCCTCACCATCCCCCTCCACCTCCTCCACCTCCTCCACCTCCTCCTCCTCCTCCACCTCCACCTCCTCCCCCTCCTCCTGCATCTCCTCCTCCATCTCCTCCTCCTTCTCCTCCTCTTCCTCCTCCTCCTCCTCCTCCTCAGCATCATCATCATCGTCATCGTCCTCAGCATCACCATCATTTTCGACACCCGTCACAACAAGGATAATTATTATGATGGTAGTAATACTTTGCATCAGGATGGTCCTCATCATCGTCACCAACGTCATCATCGTGGTCATCATCATCATCATCATCATCATCGTCATGGCCAACAACAACAACCACAGCAACCTCCTCCTCCTCCTCCTTATCATCACCAGTAACAACAACATCCTCTTCCTCATCACCATCATCATCGTCGTCATCATCATCGTTATCATCAACATCCTGACCATCTACACCCTAAATCCCAAACCCTAAACCCTAAACCCCCAAACCGTAAACCCCCAAGCCCTAAACCCTAAACCTCCAAACCTTGATCCTGTTTACACGTTCGACAGGTCGCCGCCTGCGGACTCTGTGACGCCGAGGCACGGCAGCAGCGACGGGCGAAAGCCGAGGACCCAGACAAGGACCGGTTTAGGGTTAGGGTTCAGGACCTTCTCCGGATTTTTTTCATGGGTTTAGGGTTTAGGGCTTAGGACCTTCTCCGGATTGGTTTTATGGGGTTTAGGGTTTAGGGGTTTCAGAATAGGGTGTCATATAAGCACCTATGGGTGTGTCCGGGTTTGTTTTGAGCGAAGGTGGCTGTCTTCTCGTCTTATAGGGGTGTATGGACAAGGACCTGGGATCTTGAAAAGGGGTGTTTAAGTGTAGGTTGGGGGGGTATGGGTTGTCACAAGGCATTTTGGGTAGTCGTTTTGCATGATTTTACATAGTCGTATGGGTCTCATAGGGTTGTACAGGGTTTAGCGATTTATGCTTTGGGGAGAGGGTGTAGACTTCATTATCTTTGGCTTTCAGGTTTAGGCTTTTTGGAGGCTGAATTTTTGGTTTTGGTTCAAGACTTCAACGAACAGGCATACTGGTATACAGACTGTCATTCAAGGGCTCGCATTCCGGGGCTTAGGGCCTTAACGGGTTGTTAAAGGGTTCAGGCAGGGGTTCAGGGATCCTAAACCCTCCCTAAACCCTAAAACCCTAAACTCAGGGCTTAGGCCGCCCATCCGTGCGATGGTGCAGAGCGATCCAATACGCATGCCCGCCTCCCCACAGACGGCAGCACCCACGTCCCGCCCGGTACCGGAGCACGTTCTCCTCAGGACCAATACTGGTCCCTTTTAATAGAGTAATTGCCCTGAACCCAAGCCTTCATGCTGCACGGCAAACTTACCCTGAGCCCTAAACCCTAAAACCCTAAACCCTTAAGCCCTAAACCCTAAACCCTAAAAGCCCTAGACCCTAAACCGATTTAGTGGCTCGGGGGAGTGAGAGGTTCCGGGGGTTTCACAGTCAGCCTACGCCAGTCGGGTCAAGATCTTCGGAAGCAGGATTCCTTGTCCTGCAGCCCTTTTGGTAGCTGCGGCGGCTAGGGTTGAGGATCTGGAGTGCATAGTTTGGGGTTTAGAGTTAGGCTTGCGGGTGCAACGATTTAGGGTTGAGGGTTTGGGTTGCTTCCGGTTTCCAACCGTGATGAGTTGAGTTCGCGACAGGCCGTGGCCGTGGTCTTCTGCGTCATGTCCAGAAGATCCGCACACGAACTGCGTCAGGCCAGTTCGGGCACAGCACAAGATCCACCAAGTTCGTTGCTTTCGCTATTAAGACGGATTGGAGCCTCACTACGGTTGATGATGTAAATCCTGAAATTACCCATGATAAGGAATGTACCATAATTCCCATAGTTTAGGGTCCTTAATAGGTAATGCTAAGGGTTTATATCATCAACCGTAGGACAGTCCGAGGATCCTCACCTCGCCCCGCAGCAAAGCATCTTGAAGCCGCCTGCTGCATGCAGGTGCTTCGCGACACCTGGGGGCGCAGCCTGGTGGAGAAGGCCGGGTCAATTTCGGGAGGTGGGTGTCCCGAAACCCAATTCCAAGTCTGGAACTTTAGAACCCTACGACGCTGGTATCGTAGAGTATCGCATGATGGCCCTCTTTTTCAACAAAGGCGAGCTGCCTGTTGAATAGTTCGGGACAGGCTTGCTCCGTCTTATCACGATAGCTCTTACTTCTTTTGGTCTTGTTGTGGTTAGTACGATTATTGTAACGACGATTATATCTACTCGCTGTGCACTTCGTTCTTAAGCACCCCTAAACCCAAAGCCCCAAACCCAGCCCACATGTCACCAGGCACCTGCTGTGGTCCAGCGATTCTTCGTTGGCACAGCCGCCAATGAGTCTCGAAGCTCCACTTTTGACTTGGGGAGCTCATAAAGAAGCGTAAATTATTGAAGTCTTTCGGGTTCCTTATCATATGTCGACTATCAAAGAAAGGCCCAAGGCTCTATCTAAGTATTAAGTCCCCCAGATCAATGAGAGTCTGGCGGTCTGGGATGAGAGGGAGGGGGGCAAGGGCCAGGTCCAAGTCAAAAAATCAAGACCCCAAAGGGTCCCAGGTACTCTTATGGGGGATATACTTTCCCAAATCATAATAGAAGCCCTACATTCTGCTGTAAAAGGCACCTTTGGACACTTTGGGGACTGAAGCTGTGTCCCCAAAGAGGGACATGGGGCCTGGGCAACCCGGAGATACAGTGAGGTCCCACCAGCTGCACGACCTCGACAAGGGCGACGTCGTGGAGCTGCCGGTTGTGGAGTCATATCGAACCCTGAACCTCAAGGCGCTGGTCATGCTGAGCTGGGCCGAAAAGCGGCTCCTGGGCGAGCACTCCGTTTTGCCGGGCTACTCTCAACCCTAAACTCTGAGCCGTCAGGCTGGTGGGGCTGTAGTTTTTTACCCTCAACCCTAAACCCGAAACTTTGAAAGGTCATGGTGGTGGCGGTGTGGGCCCGACCGTAGGAATCTTTCTGGCTGCAAGACAGGGCTCAACTCTAGAATCTACACCTCCTTGAAGTTGCAGATCTCCTTCTTTAAGATAAGGACTTGAAGCATTACGAATAGTATTCCTTGTAGGGTTCCTCATTGTAATCATACCATAGTAACCCAGAGACCTGAATTAAGGTATCCAAACCTCCAGTGGCTGGTGCGGCATGATGACGACGTGTACCTGCGCGCGCCAGCTCTGCTAGCACAGCTGGCCAGTCGGCCTCCAGTACGCGTCTCGACTGGTCCGTTTGGGTTTTGGGTCCAGGGTTTAGGGTTTGCGGTTGCTTCCACAGCGATTTTTCCCTGCTCGTGGCGGATTCCAACAGAGTCCCCTTTCGACTGCACTTTGGGCAGGAGCACGAAAATGTTGCGGGTTGGAGCAAGATCTAGTTAGGTTGAACAGCTTTCATGACCGTGGCCGGAGTCCGGTGCAGGTTCTGCCAAGACTACTCAAGTCAGCCAAGTCAGAAGCCAACACAGAAGAGTAGAGCGATGTCCCAGGCTACTTGTGGGGGATGATTGACCACGGCTCCAGTCCAGTTCGAGACGCTTGGAATGAATTCTGCGTTGCGCGACATCAAGGTGCTTTGTAGTAATGAAGGGTCGGTGACTTCGACGTTTTGCCGTCCGTAAGCTGCCTTCGTGGCACGGTGGTTTAATGCTGGACCTTGAACCCCAAAGCCTACACCCTGAACCCGGGACCCGAAACCTTATACCCGAATGACAGTGGCTGCGGAGAGGATCCGGAGCATCAGCACTACAACTCCTACGAACAGTTCCCAAAGCAAGATCACCCGTCCTGGGGAGACATCTTCCCACCCTATGACGCTCGGCCGATGTTATGAGTCGTTGAGATTTCTCGCAGAGACCCCAGCTGCGTGCTGTGGGCAGGATGTGGAAACTACCTATCAAGGGTAAACTTGCATGCCGGTTGTCCGAGAAGCCATATCACGTGTTGAATTGAAACGCATAAAAGCAAAGATCAACGTTGAAGCTGCAGCCGTGATAGTGGTGGTAGGACTGACTAGGTGATTTGGACATGCGCCAGCAGTTCCAAGACTCTCAAAATCTCAGAAGTGACGGGGCCCAAATGTACACCCAATGCCGCATATTCCACATCGACTAGTGTTGGATGGCCCTCAGCTGCATTCACCCTCATCGCACCTTCCTTTTCTTGGATTCTACTTGAAAACTCGAAACCCTAACCCTAAACCCTAAACTCTAAACCCCCAACCCCCTAAACCCTAAACCCTGACCTCCAAACCCCCTAACCCCTACACCCAAAAACCCTAAACAGAACCAAATCCAAATCACTGAGGCCCGCGGTTTGCTCTGGGCGATGTCTGCCGATCTCGTGGCGGCCATCGTGGAAGCCTTCAACGCCGATGTGGAGGAGCCCCGGGAAGTTCTTCCGGGTTTAGGGTCTTGGGTTTTGGTTTAAGGGTTTTGGGTTTGGGGGTTTATGACCCTAAGCCTTAAAGCATAAACACTCTAAAAGCCTAGGCCCAAAAAACCCTAAAACCCTGTTAAAACCCGAAACCGAAGACCTTAAACGCTTTTAGTATTTAGGGTTTAGAGAGAAGTCGGGCCGAAGTACCCAGCGAAGACAGCAGAAGGCAAGTTGGGTTTTGTGTGCTGTTTTTGGGGCGGCCTGTGCAACAGTGCTAATATGGGAGAATAACCACTCAAAATGTCAATTCGTACTAGGTTCCATGCCAGAACTGTGGCCTTCTGCAGTATTTATACTCCGAAGCCCCACTGTAACTATACTGTTTGCGGCCCCCTACGCCCTAAACCTTAAACTTAAACCCTAAACCCCCAATCATGAAGCTAGCCCGAAGTGCCAAAGTGCTGAGAGCCCTAATTGCCCCCAAACCCACAAGCAAACCCTAAACCCCAGCCCCGTTTCGGACTAGGAGCGCGCCGGCGAAGTTCTTGGCGAGGCCGGACGGCTTCGGACGGTCGGGATTGGGAGTTCGATTTGGAGTTTTAGGGATTTGGATTGGGAGTTTTGGGGAATTTGGTTTAAGAGCTTTAGGGATTACTGGTTAGGAATATGGATATAGTGTTTAGGGGTTTGGCTTTGGGGTTTAAGGTTTAGGGTTTGAGGGTTTGGCTTTGTGAGGATTTTATGGGGTGTTGCAAGGGTTCTTATAGTGCCTTCGGGCTACAGTGCATCGGGTTTAGGGGTTACATTAAGCTACCAATACTTACTTGATACTGGGGTTTTTGTAAATTCTACAATTGAAACTTAGCGTTCAGCATAATTTTCTACACAAGGGGAGGTTTTTTCTTTCGAGTTTTAAGGTAGGTACTACAGTGCGTTGGGTTTAGGAGTACGAATTTTGAGCTTGGGTTAGGGAGGGAACCTTTTGGGAAATCAGGGTTTAGGGCTTTTAAGGTTGAGGGTTTAACTTTTTCGGTTGGATCCCTGATCAACACCTCCCCCTCTCGAAAATAAAGCAAAACAGGCGCGGCTCGTATTGCAGCACCTACTAAGGGAGCAGGGTTGGTGCGGGTACACTAGGCGGAGCGTGCTACTTACGATGTCGACTGATGCAGCGCCCTTGGTACCTTGTTGGCCTGTAGTCGTAAGGATGTCAGACCAGACACTGAGCTGTCGGCTGGCACTGCATCACCAAGGCGACTGCAGTTCTGTTCCGTACTTAGCTTTTGTTCAGCAGAGTAGCGGCTCTGGGCACAGTACACAGCAGATACCTTGAGACACCCTCGTAACCGTGCAGGCAGCTGCTAACACTGTTCCGCATCCTGATGATCCAGCCGTTGGCGTGTTGATCGCCGGCCTCGCCTGCTGCTCAGCTGCTCGCCACTTTGCGGTGCATCCCAACATCAAGCAGCATTGTACTTATGCTAAGCTCTGTCTTCTGCGCCAGCCTTCGTCGGACAGGTGCAAGGCGGCATGTCCATCAACCTGGATGATCGCGATTTCAACTCTTTCTCCCTCAACCCATCCTGCGGCTGGGCCTGACCATGCAAAGTCTTTGCAAGCTTGCCATTTGTTCTTTCCAGCTCAGTCGGGGTGGGAAACTAGAGTGATTAGAGCAGGTGCTACTGTACCTAACCCTAAACTTTACCACTGCTGTACCTGGCCACTGAGAGTCAAGTGCTCTCCATAGAACCCACCCACCCAAGCAAGCAAGCGAGCCCGCAACCAACCAACCAGCCAGCCAGCCAGCCAACCAACCAACCACCCAACCAACCACCCAGCCAACCAACCAACCAACCACCCAGCCAAGCAACCAACCACCCAGCCAACCACCCAGCCAGCCAACCAACCAACCACCCAGCCAGCCAGCCGCGCGACCAACCAACCAACCAACCAGCAAACCAACTCACCAAACAACAAACCTGCAGACCAAGTTCATACCCGTCGAATGCGTGTGGGAAATGTAAAGGGGGGGAAGACCAAGACCGAACTTTCCAAATTCGAAAGGCGGTTGGGGGGGCCAGGTGTTGTGCAGAATTTAAGCTGATTCTGAAGGCTCGGTAGAGAGAACAAGTCAAAAAACGCTTTAGTCCAATTCGCGACCACATCGAAAGTCTGGGAAGGGGAGTTGAGGAGATGGGTAGCTCTAGACACCTCGGCGGATTGCAATGGTTATAACGCGTTAGTATATTCCTATTCTAATGAGCGAGGCAAAGATTATGAAGGGACAGTGTCACCACTCATGAGCTTCCCTGAGGCAACTCCACCTTCTCCAACATACACAATCGCACGTGGGTGTTGACCTCAGCTTCTTGATCCCGCACGGACACGGCTAGGGTTTCGGGCAGCCGGGGCTCAGCAACCCTAAACCCTAAACGCTAAGCCCCTCAACCCCATACCCTCAACCAACCCCTATAAACCCTATTCCCTATACTCTAATTAAGCCCTATAAACCCTACACCCCTAAACCCCTACACCCCTAAACCCTATTCCCTATACTCTAAACCCTAAACCCGGTCTCACGAGTTGTTGGCCTGAACCCCTCGAACTATGGTCTCCAGGTCGTCTGCATTTTTTGCAGACCCCTCGAAAGCCTTTCAACTAGGTTCCCCAGTAGTACCCTTTTGCCCTTTTTATCGGGGGCCTCCTTATTAAAGCCGAATATTAGGAAAAAGGCTCCCCTTATTATTATTATTGTTATTATTATTATTCAGGGGTTTCAATCTCTGAACCCCAAGCCTCGAAGCCCTAAAACGCCCTGAAGCTGCCAAGACTCTGAGGGCTTAGGGCTCTTAAGGGTTCAGGAAAGTTTAGGGGGTCTCAGGTGACTCAGGTGTAGGGTTGATTGCGGATCCACAAACTATACCCTAAACCCTAAACCCTAAACCATACCCAAACCCTGAACCCTAAATAAAGCGTTCAAGGTCGTTCACCATGTGCAGCCAGAAACCATGCGCTGCATGTGGGAGCTCGACACGGCAGAGGCGGCGCAAGGCGCGTCGGCCGGGCCTGGACTGCGAGTTTAGCCCAAGTATAGTATATATTATGGCATGTTATCATATGTTATCGTATGTTATGGTATATTAGAGTATGTTATAGTATGTGATGGTATGTTATAGTATGTTATAGTATCTTATGTGTACTATTGCTCGTTCTTTGTTTTGGGGATGTGGGCGGGTTCGACCTGTGATTACAGATGCATGCACAGCCCCATGCTGCAGGAGTAGCACACTGTACTCGCAAACCGGTAGCAACAGCTAGGAACTGTGCATACTATGAGTATCATCATCTTGCACAGACGCTCTCTTCAAATAGGGAAAGGCACAGGAGTTGAAAGCAGAGTCAAACCCCGCTTCTGACAGGAATCGCCTCACAAAACTCTGCCGCTTGGATTGCATGCTAATCCTGACGTTGACTACCACAGCGACGAAGCCTCCGGCTGCTGCTCCTGCTGCTGCTGCTGCCAATGCCACTTTCAAGAACGACTTACTATTGCTAGTGCTGCTACTGCTACGATGACTTACTTTACGAAAAATGAACCACTGTCATCCAGTAACAACCACCGGCACGGCCCGCCTCCTGCAACAGCAACAATAACAACAACTTCGCCAGAAGCAACAGAATAGCAGCGACAATATCCTTCAAACCCTAAACCCAAAGCCCAAGAAGAACAAACACGGCGGATTTCAAAGCGCACCTGGTAGCTGCGTCGACGCGCCAGCCAGAGTTACGCGGCCTTCTACAATGTACAGTCGGGAGCGCATGGCGGCCTTAAAAGCCCAAGAAGTTCCGAAGGGTTTAGGGTTTAGGGTTTAAGGGTTTAAGGGTTTAGGGTTTAAGGGTTTAGGGTATTTAGGGGTTTAGGGGTTTAGGGTTTCGGGTTTAGGGTTTAAGGGTTTAGGGTTTAAGGTTTAGGGTCCTGAAGGCCAAGTCTCTACTCTTCAAGCTCTAGACCATGCAAAAGAGACTTTCAAGCTTACACACCACAGGTCTGAACCCCATGGTCCTGCAGGGAGTGTAGTGTCATTGTGCTTTCTACTATTATCCTGATTACCACTCTGAAGATTGTTATTCTTCTTATATAGTTATTCGCATGGTCTTTGGCTCCTGCTTCCGTCGACTGAGGCAACCGATGCCTCCAACAGGATCTTCCCGGATCCTTGGGTGCCATCCTGGACGGAGTAGCTTCAGGTTCCGGATGTTGGGGGTTTAGGGTTTAGGGTTTAGGGCGCTTTCCATGAATTTTTGGACGGCATCTGATATAAAAATTCAAGTAGACCACCTCGCCGTGAAGCCCGGTTTGGACCTGTTTGCCAGAGAGCAAGGATCTCTGTCTTTGCTCCACGGAAGTGGTCGAGGAAGAGGATGGTGAAGAGGACCTTTATGGGGTTCAGGGTTTGGTGTATCAGGTTTAGAGTCTATAAGGTTTAGGATCCTTGCCTGTGTCTGAATCGAGGAGCCCTTCTGGTATGACCGGTCGCGCTTCAACACCGCTCGGTGATAAAAAAGCCTGGGCGGTTGCCACCCCAGATGCCCTCGGGCCGAGGTAGCCTCTGTTATGCTGTGACGACCGTGGGTCCTTATGGGTAATTCTTCTTTTAAGTGTTTGCATCGGTAACGACCCGATCATATCGAACTCACTGCCAATCACTGGCACTTTCTGTCACAAATTGTCCTGGGGTCATGTTCGTGCTGCTGCTGGCTCGCTGAGGCCTGGCGCCGACGGCAAGGCTGGGGAACGTGCATACTTCCCACGGACCACTGTTCTGCATGCACGGCACCGGGATGATGCTGCACGGAACTGAATCTTGCTATGCCTCCCAAACCAAGCTTGCATGCCCGATATTTCAGTTGCAATACGCAATGCTATCAGAGATGCCCTGGCATGGCATGGATCAAATTGGGGTTTTCGAAATTAGGGGACCCTAACATAGTACCCTAAATAGTAGGATCCTTGTCATAAGGACCCCAAATAGGGTACCCCTTATTTTCGGAAACTCTCATATGAGTCAGAAGGCTCCAGCGCTCTGCTCAGGCAAATTTCCGGGAAGAGGTCTTGCGCAGGAGGCGAGAAGAGCGACAGAGGCCCGGGGAGCTCTGTGGGACGTGTGGATGTGCCGGGATTGCAGGGGAGGCATCCAGGGTTTAGAGTTCAGGGGGGTTTATCGATTAGGGCTGCATCATGCAGCCTGCATGGTTTCTTTTCAGCCGATAGAGATGCTCCGAAGTGGACTGACGGGAGTCTTGGGGCGTCGAGGGCAGCCGCCCTAAACCCTACACCCCTTCACCCTGAACTTTAACCCCCTAAACCCCGAAACCCTAACCCCTAAGCCCAAAATTGTCGGCAGCCCAAGCCGCCACCGTCGTCATCGTCGCCGTTGTTATCGTCGCTTTGAGAGCTCATTTTGGAGTTTAGGGTTTGGGGCTTTGGGGTTTAGGGCTTTAGGGTTTTAGGGGAGTTTCAGTTGGGCAACCATCACCTCCATCTGTGAAGCTGAATCCGGAGGCAGCAGCAGAAGTCCACCAGCGAGGCTGGCGGATGCTGATTGGTCAGAAGTGGCGGTGTCAGGGGGCACGATTTTGTGGTGAGCTGTTTAGGCCACATTGCTGTAACGATGAGGGAGCTCAGGGAGAGTCTATGAGAGCAAGCTTCCGTCCGGTGAAAAGTCTTCAGTGGGAAGGGCACCTCACCAACGGAAAAGATGTCGACAAAAGCCTCAGCGATCTATACAGGCTAGAAGCTCTAAGCCCCAGACCCAGAAGATTGAATCACCACCTGACTCGTCGGTCTTGAGCATCGGCACAGGATCCAAGCATGGTAACCGCAATGAACTTTATCCGAAAGTTTAGTTTATGCATACATCCCTACACCCTCAACCTTGAACCCTAAATCCTCAATCCCCAAACCCCATACATTCCTAAACACTAAGCCTAGAATCCCAGATCCTGGAAATCACGAAAATTCCGCATTCTGCATCCCTGAAGGCACCCTTAACCCTTGAAGGGGGCGTTAGGGGCCCGGGGCGACAACAAAAAAACCCTGAGGTCTAAGCCGCCAGCCCCAAGCTCATGACAGTTGCTGCCCGTAAGTGTTATAACAGGGTTTGGGGTCTAGAGCCTAGGGTTTAGGGTTATATAAGCTATAGCCCTAAACCCTAAACCCACTTATAACCGAAGCACGATAACTTATCCTTATCCAACTCAGGGCAACGTCCATATTCTGCGAGGTGCAGCAGTTGCTGCAGGAGGTTCGACAAGAGCGCGCCGGGAGCTTCACGGCGTGTTGTTCGGGCTCAGGGGATCAGGCCTACAGGAAGCTTCAAGCCCGAGGACGCAAAGTTCTAGATGCCAAACGCGAGTCGACCCTTAGCCCAAACATCCTGGACTTACACCCCGACAACCGTAAATCCTGAACTCCCAACCCCCCAGAGCACCTTTTTTTTACGAAGCGTCCGAGGCCGTACAGAGTCCGACTATCGCTGTGGAGCCCGCTCGTGGAGGCGGGGAGTCTTCCACTCGGAGAGGTTACGGGGTTTAAGCTTCCTTTAAGGGGCTTAGGGTTCCTTTCAGGCCTCTGTAGAGGTTTAGGGTTCGTGAAGTGGTTTGGGGTGTTTAGGGTTCCACCGTGGGGGTTTCAGGGTTTTTTGGTTCTTTCAATGGTACCCTTGGGCCCTTTTCATTGCATCGCTTCCCTCAGTAAAACTGAGCCACGGGGAAAACGGCATCCTTACCATCAAAGGGATGCTGGGGAACCTAATAGAGAGGTCGGAATAACTGCTAGCAGTCTCAATTACTCCTTTATAGTTATACTACAACATATCCGCAAACCATGGTCCAAAACACCGCAAAACCCCTGAACCCTAAACCCCATAAACCCTACACTGCCCTAAACTCTAAACCCTGAACCCTAAAACCCTAAACCCCAAACCCTAAACCCTAAACCCTACACGCAAAACCCCTAAACCCTTAAACCCCATAATGTAGGGCCTAATATAGGGTGTTCGAGCTACTGTTGATGATATAAATCCTGCATTACCTGAAGGACCATAAACTGTGGGAATTATGGGTAATATCCCTTGTTATGGGTAATGCAGGATTTATATCATCAACCGTACCTGTGGGCCGCTATAAGCCCTAAACCCTTATTAAACCCCTAAACCCTAAAACCCTAAACCCTAAACCCCAAACCCTAAACCCCCGAAACCCCTACGCCCTAAACCCCTAAACCCTTAAACCCCAGACTATAGGGTGTTCGAGCTACCGTAATGTCACCAGCCAACCTGCAGGGCCCCTTCTGCGGCACCCACGGAGCCGTCGGGCGCGGGAGCTCAGGCGTCGAGTTTTGGTCGCGAGAACCCGAGCACCCGAGCATTACGGGTTGAATTTAGGGTTTTAGGGTTTAGGGGTTTAGGGTTTAGGGCGAGGTTTAGGGTTTAGGGTTTAGGTTTGAGCGGGATATCCTTTGGCGGCTTACGTAGAGAGGTGATTATGGGCTAGGCTCGCCTTCCGGTTGTTTAGTTGCTTGGGTGAGTCTTCGGGTTTCAGGCTTCAGGGTTTAAGATTTACGGGTTTAGGGTGAGTCAGGGTTTAAGGTTTGGGGTTTCGGGTTTATTAGGGTTTATTGCTTATTAGGGTTTAAGGTTTGGGGTTTTGGGTTAGCAGGGTTCAGGCTTCAGGGCTTGAGATTCAGGGCGTAATGAGGGCTGGGGGTTCAGATTTAGCCTCTCGATGAATCGAAGCACGACCTGGCAAGGCAGTTGTCCACTTAGGGTTTAGGTTTTGGGGTTTATTAAAGGACAACAGGATACTACCCTATATACCCTTATATACCCTTTATATAGTCTCATAAAACCCCTATATAACCCCAAGGGTCCCTTTAAGGGTCGCAGGTTTTCGGGTGTAGGGTTTAGGGCTTCGGCCTGGAGAAGCGACTTCGGTTCTATAGGTGAAACCCTCAGCCCTATCGAGATCCTTTGCCAACATCCTGGGCTTTTGATGTCTAACCCCTGAACCCTAAAGCTTAAACCCTAAACCCTAAACATTAAACCCTAAACCCTAAACTTCTAAACCCTACTCCCTTCTAAACCCTAAACCCCTAATCCCTTCTAAACCCTAAACTGTGTTTTTTCCATGAGTCGGCGCCAAGCCCCGCTTGGATGATCATGAGGTTCAGGGTTTGGGGGTTTAGGGTTTAGAAAATAGTGTTTAGAATTTGGGGGTGTAGGGTTGGGGGTTTAGGGCTTAGGGGTTTAGGGGTTTAGTTTTAGAATTTAGGGTTTGTGATTTAGGGTTTAGGATCTAGGGTGCAGGGTATGGGAACTCGTAAGTAAGGCAGTAGGGCTATGCCTACCTTTATTGGGGTTATCACGTTTGAGGGTTCAGTATTTAGGGTTTAGGGTTTCGAGGTTGGGGGTTAGAGGTCAGGGATTACCTGGACCCTAAAGAACCTACCTCTTTAGGGCTCCTTATTATGATTTCCTTATATAAGTCCATAAGAAGGTAGGTTCTTTCTGGTCTAGATAGGGATGCTGGATTACTTGGAGTCCCAGGGGACTTACTAAGTGGGTTATAAGTGGAGTTATAAGTACCCGAAATGGAGTTACCCTGTTTTTTAACCCTACTTATTTCTGACTTACTAAGTCCCCGGGGCCTCCAAGTAGGGTTTAGGACTCAAGAGCCTGAGGCCGCTAGCCTCTCACCGCCTCCACGGAAACCGAGCGAGGCCCCTGCAGAGAGCGAAGTGCATGACGCTTTCGGGGCCAGGATTTGCGAATTGGGTTTAGGGTTTAGGGTTTTCGGTTTAGGGTTGAGGGGACCAGGATGTGCGAACGTATCATAGTTGGGGTTACGAGTCGATTCACACATGTTGAACGCAGAGTTTAAGTAGCGACTTACAAGAATGACATCGATGCGTCGCTATACCAACCACAGTAGCACCGGGCACGGGTGAGGATTTCTGTGCTTGCTTTTTGTCCGCTTGTGGTTTCGGCAGATGAAAATGACGCAGCTAGGAGGAGAAGTCTCTTGGTATTGATAGATGTGTATGCCTGTCTGGTTCTTTAACTATTTAAAATATACTTATGAGCTATGTGCAATGTATAAGGAGTCTGGAAGCTCTGATCGTTCCAGTTTCTCCGACTTGTACTTTGAAGCTCTTGGGTAGGTTTTGTTGGTTGTCAAGTTGTTTCCTTTTTGGTGCCTTTTTTGAGGTTTAGGGTTGAGGAATTCCAAACATATGTCTTGCTAGCCTTCTCAGGGGAGTTCAGTTCGCAGGAACTCGAGCCGCAAACTGTATCTTGAAACTGGTATACCCGGATAAAGCCCTAAACCCTAAACCCGGAAAAACCCTAAACCCAGAAAAAACCCTAAAACCTAAACCCGCAAATAACCCTAAACCCTAAACTGCTCACCAGAGCGCAGGATGAAGCTCCGACCCGACCCCGTGTTGCCTCTCCAGATCCCACTACGTCGAGCCAAGCGTGTTTTCAGCGCCTCGCTAAA